ACTGACTCAAATGCATAGTCAGAAAGTCATTAGCAGAACAATTTGTAGAAGTGAAGGATTACAGGTCTAGGGCACAAAATTGTGTAACAATTCATCATTTTCCAGTATAAGAACTAATCTTAAACTCTGTCCTTACTGTGCATGTGATGTGGTCCTTCTGGTAATCCACAGTAAATCTCATAAATATGAAAGTACTCCTATATTCTTGTTCATACCATTGTTGAACTTTGATTTTTATCTGTCATGAGTCATCTTACTTAACTGCGCAATTTAGTCTGCTCTTCACTCTGTGTAATAAAGATCCACGCTGGAATTATGGCATGCACCTAGCTGCGCACCACTATGACTTACCTCCATGAAAGAGTCATTGTCATTTTTAGTCGAGGGAAAGCAAGTATCATGAATTGTTATTATCTAAGTTGTCTGTAGGCTTCTAGAAAAACTAAAATAAGCAGCAGATACACCCCCACCACCTCCCCTCCCCCCCCCCCCCCAAAAAAAAAAAAAAAAAGAGCATTTAACACAAAGCAGCTCAATTGTGGACTTGGCAGTGCTAGGTTAAAGGCCAGACTAGGTGATCTTACAGGTCTTTTCCAAACAAAATGATTCTATGAATCTATGACTTCTGCTGTGCTGAGGTTAATCTGCAGCAATGGTATATTCTGAAACTATCTTATAGACAAACAGATTAATCACATATATTTCACTTAAATGAAGGAAAATACAACACAGATGACTACTTTGGCCTTCAGTAAAGCTATATTACAACAGTGTACCTACACTAAATTCTACTCTATAGATTCTAGTTTCAAGATAACCATAAAAAATTAGAATACATAGTGATACACTGAGACAATCTTGATGTATTCTGTTTGTCCAGTAGCTCCATGAGTAATTTTACACAGAGAGCACATCTGCAATTTAAAGAAGGGAAGTTACAGATTTTGGCATGAATCCAACATTGTCAATACCTCCTTCTTACTCCGGTTTATAATCTGTGACAGAATTAAACTCCTAATTACAAAAATCACCAGATAACAGTTGCAACCAAATCAAAAGCAAAGATAGACAAGCTTTGGCTCAGAAGCTACTCAGGTCCAAAATTTCCTACCTAAATAAAAATACTGCCTTATGCTTAAAACCATGTAGCCCTGTAACACAACCCTGTATTGTCATTGCTAGAAACTGACCATCAGCTTTCCACTTAACCTGCAAGGCCTCAGGGCTGAGGCTTGCTCTGCCTGAACTTTTCTTGACTTGCCTGCAGCTTTCTTGTACTTGGCTTAGCAATTACTCTAATTGACCAGGTATCTATAACCAGTATGCTTTTTCACCTTTGTTATCTTTTATATTTTTTGTTATCTTTGTATGGTGCAATCACAGCCATAACAAGCAGTTATTCCACAGCAAATGTGATATTAATAACTGTAATTTAATGTAGTGTAAAGAAATACAAGCCTGGTAAGATAGAAGAGACTTTGAGAAAGAGACACACGATGCAGTTCGGATGACCAGTAGTATGTTTTTGGATGGGTCAGTGTCACAGTTTTGGCTGGGACAGGGTTATCTTCTTCATAGAGGCTTACACAATGCTGTTTTGGATTTTTGATGAAAATAGTGGTGATAACACTCCAATGTTTTTAGCTGTTTCAAAGCCGTGCTTGCACAGAGCCCAGGACATTTCATCTCCTTGTGCTGCCCTGCCAGCAAGGAGGCTGGGGGTGCCCCAGGAGCTGGGAGGGGACACAGCCAGGAAAAGTAGCCCAGGATGGCCAAAGGGATGTCCCACACCATGTGGTGCTGTGATCAGCAGTAACAAATGGGGTAAAGAAGGAGAAAGGGAGGGACATTTGATGACTTCTGTGATGGTGTTTGTCTTCCCAATAAACTGTTACCTGTGATGAGCCCTGCTTTCCTCGAAGGGGCTAAACACCTGTTTTGCTTTGTCTGCATTACTTGTGAAACTGCCTGTATCTCAATGCATGAGTTCCTGCACTTTTCTCTTTCTGATTCTCTTCCCCATTCCACCGGGGGAGAGTGAGAAAGCAGATGTGGTACTCAACTGCCTGCTGGGGTGAAACCACAACAATCAGGATGATTTCAAAGAGGATACCAGTTTTGAAGCTAGCTATGTAGACTTGCTGTGTGTAAAATAATTATGAACAGAAACAAAACAGGAGGAGCAATAAATTATATTTCTGCCTTTCATGTTTCAGAAAATTCATATGAGCTTTAGACAGTAATAAATAATGCAAATGTAACAAGATGTACACAAAAGAGTTTGTAATGTAAATCTTCTTAGCTATAGCAGCAAATACAAAAATGCTTATTAACACTAGCAATTCCTAGACCTAGGTACTTACTATTATACCCTACCAATATACCCAACAGCTAGAAATCCCCCACAAACACAAGCATGCACACATATGTGCACACAAAACGTAGGTATCCTCTCCAGGCTTTAAGAGCTTTCTATTGCAGAGCAGTCGGAGGAAGCTTGGGTCCCTCTGCTGTTAGCAGGGTATCTCATCTCAGTCCTGAACCTATTCCACAGAGACAGCATAAGTGCAAGGGCAAATGCAAGCAAGGAGCTCACAGAACTGTTCCTATTTACAATTTTAAGCTTATATACTTCAACTTCACTACGGTGAGCATTCTGCCATGACACAACATTCATAGGCATTTTAGCTTATTTAAAGACAGTAGAACAACTCGACAGATAGTTATCATGCTACAAAATAAACTGGGCTTTGCATTTGCAAAGCAAGTCCAAAGTCTGAAAAGGTCTCAAACTGCTTTTCAGTTGGAAAAGCCGCAAGTAGTCTGTGGCAAAGTAGCATCACATCCTGTGACACTCTCGGACTGTAGAAGGGATATGATTTTCTGGTCCACATTCTCGTGGGAAGATATTTACAGTGATGGGAAGTGCAACTGCATTAGCCACACATGTTGACAGACAGTCTGAAAAGTATGGGTCTTTATGCTCTTTTTAATATTCCTTTCCAGGTCACAGACTTTCAGCACAAGTAAAGAAATCAATGACATTCAGGGAAACCAAACTGAAATAACTACCCCTTAAAACTACTATTTAAACCTGATTATTTATTTCACATACCTCTTAAATATATTCTGAATGTGTAAATTGTGTGCTTGCTGATTAGACACACCAGATTTAACAACTATATTCATTTTTAAAAAGTTTGATATAGCAAACTGATGTAGAGGAATAGATAAGGCATTGTTTAACAAGAAGAACATTTGAAAGTATATCGTTTCTTTCTTCAGCTACTGCAAATTAGGAAAATTTGTACATTTTACTCTTGAAAGTAGCATCTGGAGAGACTGCAGATGACATGACTGCGCAAATGCTCTTATAAGCCAGGCTTTTGCACCCTTATTTCATTCAAGAAAAATAATATAGACCTGGAATTTTTAAAGCCATTTTAAGGATGCTGACATCTAATAACCTTTAAACTTAGTAGAAAATAGGCATTCAATATTAAAACGTACAGGTCTTGGAAAGGTTCTTTATTCTCAGCATCAGTGAGGTATTTTACAAAATCAGATTTCCAAATATGACAAGGCCAATTAAAACCTCTCTTTAAATTAAACAAAAATCCTTCCCAAAGGCAAAAAAAAAAAAAAAAAAAGTCTGGTATACTAAAAAGTCTTATGATATGTCCCCAGACCCAGCACATTCTCAAGCTGGTTCTTAAATTTAATTAAGAGAGACAGCCTCCAGGTAACTATCTCTTGATCCTGAATTCAGTGCTCTGCCTTTATTCTGTACTACATTCTAAAGGTTCTACTGGCAGTATGTAGGAAAGAGCCCAAAGTCATACAACGTCTGAGCATACTGTAAGAGGTAAGTGGAATATTAAGGGTGAAAAACGTTTATGTACTAATGACTAAAGTAAGATTCATACATGAACCATTGGTCCTAGATATCCTATTTATTAAATGTAAAACAACAAAAACAGTTTAATACCTAAGCTAAGCATAGTCTGTTAAAACAAGATTGGGGTTTCTCAAAAAAGCATAAATATCAAATTAAACTTTACTGATACCAAATGCAAAACAATCACATAAAATATATCTGTGAAATAAGGCTTACTGGAGATTTGCATGTCACTGCACTTCACAATGACATATCTTCCTAAAGTGGGAACGATTTCTGGAGTAGATATTACTTCTCTGGTGAGAGTGAGCATGTTTGCTCTCTCTAGCCACACAGTATTTTATAGCAGGAATTATATGAGGAGGAATTTTCTTTTAAAGGTATACATATCATCAACCTTTCTAATTAATTCCTGAGCAAGCTGTAACTATTATTCATGTAAAGATATACTCCCAGTCTCTGCCCTCCTCACCCTTCCAAATTTGCATGACCATCAGTTTTGTTTAATTCTGTTCTTCTTTAATGGAATGAAGAGGGAAAACAGCTGTATAATTGAAACGTGTAAAAGCTTTATAAAAATATGTAATTATTTTTTCTAGATTTGTAGACAAAGTATTTAGCTACTAAAGCTATAGTAAACAGCAACAATTAGTTCTTTACTCAAAGAAAAGAATAATTGTTTTATAATAAATGGTAAATGCAAACATATTTAAAAAAAATATATATATATTTTTAATGCAAAGATAACCCCAAATCTCATTACTTAATATCTAAGAAATTCTGAAATACTAATGTTTCTGATTTAAAAGGTTTGTATATTTAGGCCTCCTTTAATCACATTGATTAAATTTTACCTTCCATTTTGGATTTGTTGTTACATCACAACAAAAAGGTCAACAGAAATGAGTTATGTATATCTACCAAGATCTGATTTTAATACAGCAAAACCAAACAAACAAATAAATAAATAAATAAATGGGTTGAATTAGAAAAATTACATGCAGGAAGAAGTTGCGATACTTTATGAGACAGTATCAAAAACTAAAAGTTATAAAAGCAGGCAAAACAAAAAAAAGTAACACAATTCACTTTAAACACCTACTTGCTTCTGTAGCCACTGTTCTCGCCTCCTTTGTTTTCTCCTTAAGCTTTTCAACTTGTTTCTTTCTCTCTTACTCAGTTTTTGGTTGACGGAAGTGTTTGTAGGCTGCACAAGACCAACAGGTGCAATATATTGTTCCTCTTCTACAGCACTCACAGATGAAGAAACGTTCATCACAAAAGGTGACCCGTCAGCAATGGCACTCCCAGAAGATTGTCCAGCAGCTTCAAAATCACATTCACTCTCTATGCCTCTATGTACCAATGTGGTAAAGGAAGTATCTCGAATCCTCTTCTGTAGTTTGTCAGCATTTGACCTATATTGTTCCTGAAAAGCACTACTGTTGGACTCTAACTGCAAGCCACTTTGTGTGTAAACAGGTGGATTTGCATTTTGTCCATTCGACCATTTCATATGGTAAATAGTTCCTGTACTGGAAGTTTCAAATGAAGGTGAAAAAACAAGTCTCTTGCTGACATTTAAATCCCAACTACGTGATCTTCTGTGGAAAGGTTTTAGAGTGCATGCATCATTCAGAAGACAGGAAGCAGAAAGATTTCCTTTTTGATTTAATGCCTTTAAGGCAAGTTTTTTACTTTTCATCTCTGATCTGGGAGATCTTGCTTCAAGGCAAAGTGCTTCTGTTAATCTTTCAGTATTATTATTTCTGGCCATGTATGAAAGCCTTTGTGGTTTGATTTCCAAAGTTGCTGTTACCACTTCTTGGTGGGTATCTGTGCTAAAATCAGACTTAATTTTGCAGAGAGGTAAGTGTTTTCCTGATGATTTTGCCAATTTAAGAGAGAAAGCTGGCTGATAGTCAGTTCGACTTTTGCAGAAATGTATGTTTACTAACTGTCCACAGGAACACTTTGTGTTGCAGACAAAGTTAAAGCCCCCTAAACGGGCCTCACAAAACGGACAATGCAGTTTTCCAATTGTCCACTGTGCCTATTAACAAAAAAAAGAAAACAAACTGACATCCAACACATTCATTATAAATCAATGATTAAGAAATCATTACTAGATTTACTTTTCTCCTTTAATAAAAGGGCTTGTTTTTTGTTTGTCAAACACAAAAAAGAGACTGCAGAGCAAAAAGAAAATCCACCATAGAAAATGTTCCAGTGAAAACTCTGCTTGATGAAGTGAAAATTAGTTGTAAGTGATAACTATCCTAAATCTAAGAAATCTAGAACTAACACACATTTCAAACTGTAGAGGCTTTAAAATATTTTAATTATTTGTCCACTGATAGAATAATGCTGCAATGCCAATGAAAACATTAGATCCTTTAAAATAGTGAAATCAATTTACCATGTTAATCTGGAATTGGCAAGCACAGTTTCTCAGCTAAGTTTTCTGAGCGGTAATACATTTCTTGCATACTAAGTACAGTGGAAGGAGATTTCTCGAAGAGAATATAGCTTTTTACTTTGCTTACCCACAAAAGACTTGAAATGGTACTGGCATTTTGATTTATGTAGTATTACAACATAATCTGTGTGCAAATGACATCACAAATCTTTAATATCATTAGTATCATTTAATATCATTGGGGACACACTTCTTTACATTATCTACATTTTTATGAATCTCATTTCAATCCTAAAGTCACTCTTTGAAAATAAAATACATATCAGACAACTATAAGCTCCTACATACTTGCACAACTATTAGTGTTTTTACTAAATATATTAATCTGTTCAGGAGAAACTTTTTTGAGGATTAAAGTCATGCGAGTGTTCTCATGATCACAGCCCATAGGAAAAACATTATAAACTCCAGTCACACGTTACTCACTAGTGTGCCCAATGTGGGGTTAAGGCATGAATACAGAAGCTATCCAACGTTTCTAGCATTGCTTTCAGTTGCAAATGTCTTTGCAAGGTAGTTTGGGAAAATGATTCTATGACTGATGTTTGTCTGAGTGAATGCTCTGGAAAGTTTCAGTAAAACCATTTTTGCAGTTTCACAAAAATGCTGGTGTGCATTATATTCCACATGCAATAATAGAAAAAGTTCTGGAAACACTTCTTTGAGAAGCTCACATGTGTGTTGTGGGTTAAAAACTCAAAATTTCACAAAGTATCAAAGATGTGCATTTATGGCACTTATGAGAATCTGTTTAAATCTGGACATATTATTAACTTAGAGAAAAAGAAATCTGTTTACATATGCCCCAAACACTTTTAAATTCCCAAAAACTCCTTAAACACACACAGTCTTAGTTTACAAGGCTGACAAATTTGTGTCTATGCCATTACCTAAGAAATACTAAGCTGGCACAGAGGTTTACTCTAAGTCTCCCACACTCTGTTTCTCAGATGTTTTGGACTAGGCACTAAAATTCAGGAATAAGCACTTAGTGTCTTTAGTGGGTATTGCAGGCACTCAGCCACTACAGAATAATAACCCAGATTGCCAAAAGGGGAGAAAAAAGTATCCACAAAGGTTAGAGAAGAAGGCTAACCGTCTGGTAAACTGGAACACGAAAGGTTCCTCCTGAACATCAGGAAGCACTTCACTATGCAGGTGATGGAGTACTGGCACAGGTTACCCAGATATGTTGCAGAGTCTCCCTCCTTGGAGATCTTCAAAAGTTGCCTGGATGTTGTCCTGGGCAACCTGCTCTGGGTGACCCTGCTTCAGCAGGAGGGTTGGACCAGAAGGACCCTGAGGTTCCTTCCAACTTCAGCTGTTCTGTGATTCTAGCAAAAATGGGAAAGTAAGAGTTTGTAGGGAAGAAAAAGGACAATGCTACACCCTATGTGCAGAGAGACCGGGAGATGAGCTGCAGTACAAGGAAGTCTGGGATTGATTTAGTATGAGCTTGGCAAGGGAGTGTGGAAGCACTGACTCAGGATAAGAAGTAACAGCCTACTAGTGGAGGCGGTGGCAGCGGGAAAATCAGCAAGATCTGAAAAGAAGCTGAGGGTACACAGATTTAATGATGGTGTGCATTAAGAGGAAAAACTAGGAGGGGTTAGCTAAAGAAGCTAAACCAAGTGATGAGTAACGGGGCAAAGAGAATGCAAGTCAATAAAGGTCACTAACAGCGCTAGCAAGGTATTTATAATTATCGAAGATTCTCCATACACTAATTTGTGCATGAAACCCAATGAGATTGGTTAAGAACAGGGACAGATGGCAAAAAAGAACTGGCTGGGAAGCAGTGGGCTGTTACAGACTGCAAATAGACTTTGTGCTTATGTAAAATGTTTTAGCCTTTGATTCAGGAGTCATACAGGAGAAAATAACACATGATCACAAAATTATTCAGAGCCCAGGAGGATCTGGGGACAAGCCGAAATTGTTTAAAAATGCCACAAATTTATCCATAAACCTGCAGCATCTTTCCAGAGAAGTCAGAAGTGAATGAGAAAAGAGTTCCCAGGACATGAAAGGATGAACAACAAACCTTATGACACTGAAGGCTTTCAAAGAGTACAATACTGGTACCCTTTATATTATAACAGTACAAATATTGTACTATTATTGCCTCGGCCACCAGAGGAGCATTGGTCTTCTGCAGTGTTGAAAAAAAGCTAAGCCTTTTCTAAGCAGTCACTGCCTATAGGTTTTTTATCTCACAGGTCTCCAACTTGACCTTTTAGGCTTTCAAATGCATTAGGCTGGGCATTTACAGCTAAAGGTGAAAAGAGATATGCTAATATCAACATTAACTCCAATTGTACTGAAATAATATAACAAACTACTATAAAAACTGTGTATTCATGATCAGACATTCAAAATTCTGCAATTCTGTAAAGCACAAAAATAACTCATCACCCCTAATTTATTTTCTCTTCAAGATGAAACAAATTTTCTTAATTTTTGAATGATTAGTTTTACAGTCGTGTATATATATTTTTTGTGTTGGATGGATTTACTTAGATCAGAAGTTATTTTCAGTATAGAATAGAACAGAATAAAACAGAACAGAACAGTTGAAAGACACCCACAAAGATCAATTCCAACTGGCTGACCACTTCAACCACTTCACAGAAAATATAAAGTACATTTATATACATATGCATATATGCATATTCTTCTGTATACAGTATATAGTAAAGCTTAGACACTGAAGCCTAATTTGAAAGCAATGCAAAGAGCATTTGCTTCTCAAAATCAAACACTAATCAGAGGAAATGTGTAAGGCAAACATTAACCACTGTTGCTGCTTATTATATCCATGACATAACATTAACTTCTAGCCCTGAAATAAAGTATACACTCAACAGAAGCAATAATTTCAGTAAGGAGAGTTGTGAGATGCTTTGTAATTTAAAATGGGCAGCTAAAGCAGGGACACTAACTTGTCATCAGATGTTTGAATCTGCAAGAAAGCAACTATTTTCTAGCCATGTGCCAACATCATCATAGAATATGCTGAGTTGGAAGGGACCCACAAGGATCATTGATTCCAGCTCCTGGCTCCACACAGGAACAAGCCCAAATCAGACCACATGTCTGAGAGCATTGTCCAAATGTTTCTGGAACTCCAGCAACTCGGTGCCATGACCACTGCCCTGGGGAGCCTGTCCCAGTGCCCAACCACCCTCTGGGTGCAGACCCTTTCCCTAACACCCAGCCTGACCCTCCCCTGTCCCAGCTCCATGCCATTCCCTTGGGTCCTGTTGCTGTCCCCAGAGAACTGAGCTCAGCGCCTGCCCCTCCGCTCCCCTCGTGAGGGAGCTGCAGGCTGCCATGAAGCTCCCCTCAGCCTCCTCTGCTCTGGGCTGAAGAAATTAAGGGACCTCAGCTGCTACTCAGATGTCTTCTCCTCCAGACCCTTCATTATATTTGTAATATTATTCGGAAAATAATGGTTTTATGTCTTTCTTATATTCTGGCACCTAAAACTGCATGCAGTACTTGGGGTGAGTCTGCACCAGTGCAGAGCAGAACAGGACAATCCCTTCCCTCCACCACCTAGCAGTGCCATGTCTGATGCACCCCAGGGTACAGTTGGCCCTTTTGGCTGCCAGGGCTCACTGCTGACTCAAGTTTAACTTGCCATCACACAGAATGCTCAGATCCCTTCCCACAAGGTTGTTCTCCAGCCCCTTGACCCCCAGTCTGTATGCACATCCAGGCAGTGTTGACCCATCCCAGATGCAGAATCAAGCACTCACTCTTGTTAAACTTCATATTATTGATGACTGCCCAAACCTCTAATTTGTCAAGATCTCTCTGCAATGCCTCTCTACCGCTGAGGGAGTCAACAGCTCCTTCCAATTTAGTGTTGGCTGCAAAATTTGTGTGCTTTCAAGTCCTGTATCCAAGTCATTTATGAAAATGCTGAAGAGAACTGGCCACCAGCCTGATGTTACTATGACCCTCAAACAATTGTTCACCCATTGTACTATGAATTCGTCTAGCTGTATGCTGGACATTTTGTCCAGAAGGATGCTGTGAAAGACGGTATAAAAAGTTTTGCTGAAATGCTAAAATATTACATTAACTGGCTTCCCTTGGTCAACTAGCAGGATGACCTTGTAATAAGAAGAAATTAGGTTTGTTTAGCAAGTCTTTCTGCTCATAAACCCATTCTGACTGTAACCAATGACTGCGCTGTCTTTCAGGTGATTTTCAATAACTCCCAGGATAATCTTCACAATTTCACCAGGCACTGACAGGCCAGGGTTTTCTTTCGTACCCTTCTTGAAATTGGAATGTTTGCCAGGTTTCATTTGACTGGGACCTCTCCAGACTCCTGAGACTGTTGTGAGAGAGGTCTCACAATGACATCTGTCATCTCTCTGAGTACCTCGGGAGGAGTCCCATCAAGCCCCATACACTTACAGTCACCCAGCTGGAGCACCAAATCCTGCACAAGTTTGGGGCTGGCTGAGAGTTTATTGTTACAACAGTCATAGTCCTCTAACTCGGCTCTGAGGGTCTCAAAGCCCACCACTGGTTTTGAAGACAGATGTAAGGAAGGCACTAAATCATAGAATCATAGAATGGCCTAGGCTGAAAATGACTTTAAAGATCATCTAACTCCAACCCCCCTTCCATAGGCAGGTTTGCCAACCACCAGACCAGGCTGCCCAGAGCCACATTCAGCCTGGTCTTGAACAGCTCCAGGGATGGGGCATCCACAACCTCTCTGGGCAACCTGTTACAGTGCCTCACCACCCTCTGAGTGAAAAACTTTCTCCTAATATGTAACCTAAATCTCCCATCTTAATTTAAAATCATCCCCCCTTGTCCTATCACTATGAACACATGTAAACAGAAATAAATATCTCTGCTTTGTCTAAGTCCCTATTTATGAGGTGACTGCCCCATTAAGAAATGAACCAATGTTTTCTCTGGTCATCCTTTTGCTGTTAACGTATTTTAGAAAGACCTTTTTATTTCCCCCCACAGTACTGCCGAGCTTCATCTCTGAGCTTTGGCTGCATGAATTTTCTCCCTACAATGGTGAACAGCATCTCTGTAGTCCTCCCATGTCACCTGACCTTATTTCCAGTGGCCACACACTTTCTGCCTAAGCTCTAGAAGAAAACCCCTGCTCAGACAAGGCAACCTTCTGCCCTGCCTGCCTGACTTCTGACATTTCAGAATTACCTGTTCCTGTGCTCTTACAAGGTAGTACTTAACATGTGACCAGTACTGATGGAGCCCAGTGCTTTCAAAAGCAGGTTCCCAGGGGACCTTAATAATGAGCTACTCGAGCAGCCTGAATTCTCCTCTCCCCATATCCAGGGTTGAAGTTTTGATGGCACTTTTGGTGGCACTATTACCAAAGATTTTAAACTTGACTACTTTGTGGTTGCTATGGTCAAGATTGCCACCAACTGCCACTTCACCCATAAGACACTATGTTCACAATCAACAAATCCAGGAAGGCAACTTTTCTAATCAGCTTTAGTATCTGTACCAAGAAGTTATCATTAAGGTATTTTAGGAATCTCCTGGAGCTGTTTGTATCAGCTGTATGGTAGCCGTTCATGTTTGTCACCCATGCCATGTCACAAGGGCAGCTAATCTACAGGTATCTCTCAGTGCCTTAAAGAATAATTCATCAGTTTAAGTATTGTCAGGATATGCAGTGTTGCCTGTAACAGTCATTTGGACAAATATATATACATTCATCTATAAATGGGCAGGAACAGAATTTATCAATTTTAGGTTTTGAACACACATTAAAAAAAAAAAAAAATCAAAAGGGGATAAAGATTCTATGAATGGTAATAATAAAACCTACTGACAAAAATTCTCTAAATTACAAGGTCTCTGAAATATATATGGACTTTGTCAGAAAGGTACCCTTGAATTTTGTTCCCCTTACTAATTTCACATTTGCTTGAATGATAAAGATGTAAGGAAAAAAAATCTACCTTCTCAATGACGCATTTCACCCACTCTGGAATGGCTTCTAAGTTCACATGCCATACATTGCAAGACTCCTGAGCAGCAGCTGAAGGTTGTGATGTCTATTAAAAAAAGAAATATTGTATTGATATTCAACATTCATGTAAACTTCTGTTGTTTGAACATATCTAGAAATCAGTCTCCCAAATTTAGTAAATATTTTTATTAATAAATGGTACATGTCAATGTTGTTGGTGCATTCTTTAAGCCAAAAATCAGGTAGCTGCTGTCAATTATACTCTATTTCTGGATCTAAGGACATTGGACAGACTCCACTGTGGAGATGGAGGCGTTTGGAGGTGTTTTTGTTTTGTTTGCAAGAACAGAAAGTATGCAATGGCTGATCTTCAAGTATATTAGGAAACTGATTTCACAAGCACTATCAGCTGGCACAATTTTCCAGTAAAGGCAGTAAAAATTTAAGTTCTAGTTTATATGAAGACTGTGGTCAGTACTAGATAACTATTCCATGTGTAGTTTTAAATTCATTTTCTCAAACATTTGTTAGAAAAACAATCTAAGAAAACGGACTTTTAGGAATTTTTCAATTTTAACTGCAATTATGTGACCAAATGAAGACAAAAATAAATCAGAAAAAGTTGTTAATTAAGAATAGCATAACATTTCAGTAACTGATACTAAAATAAATAAAAATATCTAACTTCCATTTAGCACGGAAGTGATACAAATGTAATGAAAACCTTTTACTATAGTTTAGAATATCAGCAAAGTTATAAGGATGACTAAAACACAAGAAAACTCTGTTGAGTGTCGAAGTCTTAAAATCAGTTGTAAAGAATGATGAACATAAAACAAACAAACAAACAAACAAAAAACAACCACTGACTCCTATGTTATGGAACTCACGGTAGGAAAAAAATATTATTATGAAAATTGAAAGGGGGGCTATATACAGAAGATTGAAACTTTCAAAAATTCCCCACTTAATGACAGAAGAACTTAAAATATACAGATAGATTCATTTATCATACTCATGCCACATTTTCTTCCTGTCTATGGAGACTGCTCATACTCCAAATTAGATATAATTCTAATATAAGTTTTTGATAGTGTATTAATAACTTCAACATTTGTCTTTTAGGTTTCTTCTAAACACCTTCTTCTAAGGTTGCTCTTCTATGTTCTTCTTATAAGAACTCAGTTCAGCTACATCTTTGATTGCAAGTGAAAAATCCAACAGGAAAAAAAATATACTAAAAACACTACTCTTCTCATCTGAGCACATTCTTGCCTCCCACTGCCTTTGAAAGCAGCACTAAGTTACATTTTTTATCTGCTACCTACATATTTAGAGATAGAGCACTTTCAGTCCTGTGTACAAGGAAGGTGGCCCTCTGCTAGCAACTGAACGTTCAACCACATTCTTCCATGAAAGGATTGAAAATCCTCCCCAATAAAAACAAACAAAATTAAATCATGCATAAAACAAACAAACAAAAGCTTTAAGCATGAAAAATATTCTGGAACCTCAAGCTCTGTAAGCAAAGGGAGTGCACTGTTAGAAATGTAATCATTAAATTAAAAATGTAAAAAAAAAAGTCTATACTGTTAGAAAGAAGATGAATTCCTTATTCCTTGCTTTTTTTTTTTTTTTTTTTTTTTTTTTTTTTTTTTTTGCAATGTCTTATAGGTTAGGACATTGAGATCATATCTGTTATTATGGGCAGCCAGCTGGCTCCACCCATGTTAACCATAGATCCTGAAATACAGGACAGCATAGAGAAGTGCCAACTGAGTCACCTTGGACCATATGCATGTTGGTACTGAATGTACAGCTCTGCTTGAAAGGTGTGTCTTACTACTTTAATAGTGTGCCACAGGATCCCTTGGAAACAACTGAATGTGTCTGCAGAGCTATGATGGTTTAGGAAATCTACACTAGACTTGATTTCCCAAAGATATCCCTTCTATAAAACAAAATACGACGTGAAAAAAAAATGCAACATGAACTGAAATTGAAAATACAATTTGTGTACTTTGTGATGTGAGGAAGACAAGAACATATTATGTGAGTTATTTTAGTGACAATATGTCCCCATAGCCTGTACAGAAGAGCAGAGATTTCTAGTATGTATGCAACAGGTCAGTCTTTTCCTACCCTCTAGTAGGTACCTTCTCACATACAGGCATGACATCCACTGACATGTATGATCTCTGTAAGAACAGTGATGTATTGGAACTAAAGTGTTTTTGAAAGTGAGCTTTCATTTTACAAACAGAGTAACTCCAGTAATAAGGCACTTAACAATTATACTATTTAAGTACAAGTTCAAAAAAGCATTAAATGTGAAAAGATTTTAGTTTAAATAAAGCTATTCTTGTCAAGAAATATCTGCAGTTCAGATACTTAAGTTTCAGGTGGTGTCTAAGACTTAGTATTTGTTATGTCCAAATATTGCTGACTTTGATTGCATTATTTATTCAAAAGGAATAATATTACTAATAAACTTTTGCTTCAGAAATTTTACAAAACCATTTAAAAGCTTTACTTTTGTATTGTAAGAGAGTTACATAAAATTTCTTATTTTTTTTTAAGAAAATGGAGCTTTTAACTTTAAAATAAATACCAAAAGAACCTAAATACCAGAACCTAAAAGCAGTGCAAGAATAGGTTTTCTACTTTTTTTTTTTTTAATGTTATTGTCTTCTATGTTTATGTCTTTCTTTCAATTCCTTGAAGAAGAGCTATAGCAATATTAGAAAAAAGTAAAGATGGTGAAAGTATTTTCTTAATGCTGAGTTCTGAGATGAATGTACCTTGTAGTCTAAAATTCATATTCAGCTAATAAACCACCTTAAGTCTCCAGAAGCTTAAAAACAGAAAGATACAGTCAATGGTAAGAAAATACACTGCTTTTAAAGGATGGACTACTGAAAATGTTGTTGGAGATGTACATCAGAAGAAAGCATGTCCCACTCTCCTGCAAATATGTGTTGAAAACATTTGATTTCTGACTACTGAACTGAATGCATACAGATGGATAAAATGGAGATTATTATTAATACTAATTGTATCAAGATCTTTAATACTATTTTTGTGTTTAACTCCACTGGCTATGGCCTTCTCCAGTGCTAAAAAAGAGTGTCGCTACATTTCTAGTGTGTGAAAAAAATAAATAAACACATTACCTTCTACTTACTTTTTCTCTTTGATTCAACAGTGGAGGATGTAAGCACAGCATTCTTGGTGTACTTAGAAAAAACTCCTAACACTTTATGATAACTAAGTGCCATTATGAAGCAGCAGGAAATACTCTGTCACTCTTTTATTCTGTACGATCATTTTACTTTTTATTTTAATGATAATGATGTGAGTCACTAAGTTGTATTTTAACCTGGCAGGGCATCCGCTGTCATGGCAGGCAAATCTGAATGATTTATGTGCCCAGACTATCCCCCACTTTTTAAAAATAAGTAGCAAGAGTATCTGAGCTAGGTAACACTGTATATATTACAGGAGCTAGTACACAAATGTATCATGAATACCAGCCTTCATGTTGCAGACCGTAAAGGTGAATGTTTCTTATTCGGCTTCAGTAGCATTACTGCTTACATTCTTCTCTATATTTTAACTATATATATTTTAATTTATCCACAGGACAAATTAAGTGAAGGCAAATCTAATAGTTCTCCTTTATTTAAAACCAATGGCACTGGAAAAACAAACAAACAAACAAACAAAAAACATACAAACAAACAAAAAATAAAACAAACAACAACAGACATTATACTTACATCAGATGGTTCTTTTCCATGACATTTTGCAAGGCAGTTAGAATTTGCTATGTATTTTCTACATCTCCAGCAACGTAGCACATCAGACTCTTGGCTACTCATTTCCACTTCTGATTCTTCAGCTCTGTATGTCTATTCGGAAAAAAAAAAAAAAAAAAAAAAAAAAAAAAAAAAAAAAAAAAAAAAAAAAAAAAAAGTACAATTCAGTCAGCTGTTAAAATTACGTATGGTTTAATCGTGCAACCTCAAAGTCTATCAGTCATCTCTTCATAATGGACTAGACCACTACTTTGTCTATACATGTAAGCATTCTCTAATCATGTACAGCACACCATCTAAACACTTTAAATAGTGAAGAGAAACATCCGTTTTTGTTTTCAGACTGCACATGAAACTGGAAAACAACAACAACAACAAACAAACTAAAACCAACTTTCTCAGTGTTTACACAAAAGACGAGAACTTCAGCCTTCTGATTTCAAATCACCTCTTCCACAACATACTACTTCCCAGCCTATGTCCATAGAAACAAGTCATTGTTATCCCACACGTTTAATACACACATATACACGTCACATAACAAAAAGGAATGCTGACATAAAAACAAAGGTTGTTTACTCAGTATGTCCCAGGAGGCTTGTTACAGGGAGATGGGAGGATCAGTGCTACAGCTGTAACAGAGCTTTTCACAGACCAGAATCAACCTTCTCGTAAAACAGATTTAAATTAAGACTTAAATTAAGAAGGGCAAGATGAGTATTTTTCTTTCTTTGTGCCTTGCTATGTTCCAATGTTTCTTTTGTCTACTCTAACCTTTTTCCAAAGCCTTCTCTTTTGCCAAGCTTTCTCCAAATGTTCCCCTCTTTTCTACATACTTCTTTCTGTTCCACTCTCTTGTGCTAGCTACATGGAAAAAAGCTAAAAGTATCTTTACATATACACACTCAACTGGATGGTTATGCCAACTCACTGTGCTAAATTGCACCATCCGTTCTAACAAGGAGGCAGTAGCATAAAACTCAAACCAGTATTAAAGAATCTCTATTCTTCTATAGTTCAAACACTTGGTTTAGCAGTTCTTTCAACAATTTCATTTTAGTATATTTTTCACTGAGGTCATCAACACCAGATGCCTGTACAACTATGTGGCTTATACACATAAATCTGTGCTCTTCCCATTTCTGTCTTGCCTTCTCCTACCTTGTTTTCGGAATGGAAATGAACACACACATTGGTTATTCATTGTTTCTCATTTATGTCTGAGTTCTTCTCTCATGAGATATCCTACTCTTTCTAACTATGTAGACGGTCTAAGTGCGGTTTGACAAGGAAGAGTTAAAACATCACATGCATTCAGTAGACTCTTAGCTCAATGTACACACAACTTTTTGTAACCAGATCCACACTAAGCTTAGAAAGTGAAATGAAGGCAATCGTTCTCGCAACATCAAAATAAATTAAGATGAAATTTTATCAAAATTCCATTTTTCTTCCTTTACAGATAAATAAACATAAGTAGTTAATGTAAGTTAAGATGGTCAAGCAAAAGATCATGGAAGAGACACTTGCAGAAAAGGCAGAATTTATGCTAGAAGCCCTTGCTAGAAGGGCAAGGCAGGGACCTACTCTGGAAGTTGTTTGAGGTCTAGCTGGGTTTGGAGCAAGAGAAAAGGACAAACCAGTCTTCAGTGCAGACCAGCTGGGTAGGCACATCACTGCTGCTAGGGGCAAGCAGTGGTATTAGCATGCTCATCATCAGCAGACTGAGAAGGGAAAACAGAGTTGGAACTCCCAGCTCTATTTCCTTCAGCTTTAGGGGCTGATGGCACAGGGAGCTCCACACAGTTTTGATGCCAAATGTGTTCCCTTTTGTCATTGTTCATGAAAAAAATTTGATGATTCAAATGCCTTAAGCAGAGTCTCAACTTTTTATTAACCTTGCTCTGTAAAACAGTGTGAAAGTGAGTAACATTAAAAAACAACAACAAAAGACAAATTTAGGCTCTGAAATATTTTACAGGTAGTGTGCATCACTTTACAGTGATAAATGCAGCATTAGACTTCACAGGTTATTGAAGGAGTGATTACCAGTTATGAGTGTGTATCACTCCCACACCTGTAAAGCTGTTGTAATTAATTTATTCTTGGCAGTTTCATAACATACTTCTAAAATTCATTTAATCTTATAACAGCTCACTGGGAACCTGGGATGTAAGACCAACCAGGAAGGTCAGACAGACTTTTTGCCTAAGGCTTGCTCAAATAGGCATTTCAAGTACAGCCGTATCCCCATATGCCAGTAAAGATACATTCTTGGAACACACTGCAGTTATTGACATCTATCTTGTATACCATATATCCTGTATCTGTCTATTAAAATGGTATACATGTATATATATTTAAATTTCTGTATATAGCATGTTCTCATCATAACTGTTCTAGAAAACAAACAAACAAACAAACAAAACACCCTGGTTTGCTATCTGTTCAACAGCTGCTTCATTTGAGGCTAGTGATGCTTCCTGGGTGAAGACATCTGAAGTGATGTAAACATCTCCCTTTCCTGAACAGTAATCACTCTTTCCTGATCAGTAATCACTCAGTAAAACAGCAAGAAATCACTGTTATGCTGCAAAATGAAAGCTCCTTTGTTTTGCTGATAAACACTTTAAAAGTATTTTCTTAGTATTTTCTTAGTTCTGTATATGTCTTTTATTTAAAAATACACTTTAGTAAGAGAAATTAATGTATAATGTATTATAGATACAATAATCTGCATACTACAGGTATGTATGACCAAAAATGCTGACAGTGAACTACATGAAAAAAAATATTAAAATCCTTAAAGTGCAAATACTTTTTAATAAAATATTACAATAGACTTAGGTATTCTTCTGGCCTAGCAGAATTTAAAAAGGAAAGTTCCTGTTGGTCTATTAAAATTCTGCATGTATGTGCCCTTTTGCAGGTCTTACCGAGGGCAGAAGAAACACTATAATTGTACATTAACACATTACAGAGGTTTCTACAAGCACCATGTTAGAAAACAGCAAATGAGGCATTTCTGATTTTTTACATGACCATTCATTCCTCTTTTGATTTGCATATAACTTAAACTGGAACTCAAATGAAAACACACACACAAAGAATTGTGAAGTGTTTTTATTATTCAAATGCAGTTTAACCATAGTGTTCTGGATGCATTTTAGCAAATTTTTATCTCTCGCAGTTTGCATTTAGAACTGTGAAAAGGCATATGGTTCTCACTTTGCGTTGTCTTTCAGCAAAAATGCCGACATAAAGGCCAGAGATTCCATTTTGAGAGGCAGACACACAGAGACTAGATGGTGTCACTCTCAGCAGGCCTTTTCAGCTTGGCACAGGGCCATGTTTGTTGTGGCTGCACTGCTTTCAGATCAGTTGCCTTGTGCAAGCTCATGTTTTCCTCCAAAATAGCATGCAGACATATATGAGAGTAAAAAAGCCTACGCTCCTCTGTGGCTTGTTTTATGTCCTTCAAACTTTTTTTCCTGTGACTCAGTCCTATAAAAGCCAAGAGCAGAGGGTTCCTTCCCAAGCTGGGGACCCAGTCCTCTTTCTTGAGAAATGTCTGTTTAACTTTCTGTTACAGACTTTTGATGGAGATATTTCAGCCTTCCCAAACCATTTCATTACCTTGTTATCTCCTGTCATTATAGCCTTTCCCCTTACATCTAACCTGATTTTTTGTGCAATTTAAATCTTACTCTCTCTTATTTGCTGTGAATGCAGAGGACAAAATGTCTCCTTTTCTTCTGTGCAGCAACATTTTACAACTTTAAGCACTCACATATCAGCTTATCTTCTAGCTTGTCTTTGGGCTAAATAAATTTAATTCTTTTCCTTTCTCCTCACAGATCATGATTTCTTGATCTCTGTCACTACTATTCAGCTATTCAGTGAACTCTTCCAAATGGGTCAGCTATTCTTGCACAGCAGTGTTCAAATCTGGCTGCAGAACACAAAATGAAGTAGTACCAGCCCTGAATTGATCAGACAGATGATAAAAATTTCCAAGAGGATAAAAAGAAGAGAATGCTTTTTTAGGGTTGAAAAGAATAGAAAATACACTAGATCTTTTTTAAAATGTTGTTTCTTACATTTATAAGGATGGGAAATACTGTAAGATTAAACAACTATTCCAATTGCAAGTAAATTTCACATGCAAACTCAGCATAAGATCTTCAAGATTTTCAGATTCATACATGCTCATCAATATGTTAAGGGAAGAAGGAACAATAATCACATTTTTTCCTTTCTCTCACTCCATCTGGAAAACTTATGAGCAACAACACTGAAAGCTAGTGGGACAATTTGCAAAGAAAACAGTAAAAATTAGGGGAAAGATCAAGTGGCAGACAGCACTCAAAGAAATGGCATAGAGCTGATCTGCTTCCTGTTTACTTATTGTTTCTTGAATGGGATGCTTTCCCTTTTGGCATCTTCTCATAAATAGGAAGTCCCCTTTGATATCTATATCTATACAATTTGGATTGTGTTAAGAAACAATGTATTAAGCTCTGACCATTTATCACCAAAAAGATTGCTGGAAAACTGAAGTAAAGCGCCCCAAAAGTTTCTCAAACGTGCAAAGTAAACGACTAAACATAAAAACATGTTTCTATTGAAAGCCTATTCAAGGATTTCTCTTCAACTAACTTCACTTTCCTCTCAAAAATGTAAAACTAAAAGAATGGGTAGAGCAGAACACATGGTTTTTGATGCTTTTTTCTTCAAAAGTCATCTATAACCCCTTCAGGATGCCACAGCCACAAGGATAACAATAATAATTAGGTTGCAGTAAGGAATTAGGACACAGAAACTTGAGCATTAGTTACAGAGAGCATTGTAAAGAACAGTAGGTGCTTGCCAGCTTTGAAGTAAGGTGACGAAGACAAGTCAGATGAGCTGTCCTGGACAACAAGTGCCCAGAACCAGAAGTTCCTGCTCCCAGGAAGGCAGGAACGGACACTTTGCTAAACAGGGAAACAATCCTGGAAGGCATTCAGGCACACGTGAAAACTAACTACAATCTTCCAATGTCTGCAGCTTTTCAGCTTTGAGGGGACACTTCTGTAAGGACACTTAAGGAGTGTTCCTCGATAAAGCAACAGTTATGCAGGGAGAAAGAAAACGATGTTTGAGGAACTGCCTCCAGGCTGCCAGAGAAGCGCAGCAGCACGGTGGGTTTAGTGTCATCCAGGCTGCTCCTGTGTCGGCTCCCGCTGGACTGCGAACTGTTTTGCCAGTTCAGCTATTGTTGTGGGGTCAGCTCCCATATCATGGTCCACTGCTTGACGAGACCGGGCGGCCAGACTCTCTCCCGCAGCAGGAGCAGCCCACATAAATTAGAAATTGGTTAATGTAACAATGGCAAAGAGCTCGTTACTTGCGAGGTGTTACTTAATCGCTAACAAATCCTACTGCATGCTGGCTAAGCCGATGGGTGTAGAAGGTAACAGCGAGACAACGCCGAGTGCTTAAATCGCTTTGACAGGGAGCAGACAAAACAGCTCAACGGGAAGCCAGGGACCGGCGGCGCGTACGCTCTTTTCTCTCATGCGATCCCACGGGCGGTCTCACCGCTGCTCGCTGCTCTTGCACGCCCAAGCGCCAGCCGCCGCACAAACCCGGGGGCCAAACCGGGGGCAGCGGGGCAGCGGCAGGCTCCAGGCCGCCCTGCGGGCGCTGACAGGAGGCGGCAGCGCCGCTGAGTGCGCTGCGAGGAGACGCCGGGGGCTCGCCGGGGGCTGGCCGGGGGCTCCCCGCGGCTCGCAGCGCGCCCCCCGCCCCGCCGCCCCGCCCCGCCCCGCCGGCAGGTGTCGGCCCCGCCGCCCCGCGCCCCGCGCCCCCGAGGCGCCGCTTACCGGGGCCGCGCCGTGCGAGGGAGGCTGCGAGGAGGAGGAGGAGGCGGGGAAGGGGTTGCGCAGCGGCAGCTGCTCCTGCGAACGGGAAGAGACGGGAGACAAACGGCAGCGGAAAGCGCTCGGCGAGCGCCGAGACCGGCCCCCTCCCCGGCGGCTCTGCCCGCCGTGGAGGTCGCCCTGCGGCCGGCAGCTTCCCCTCGGCGGCTGCCTCGCCCCGTCCCTGCCGCGGGGGGCCGGGGAAGGAGGCGGCGGGCGGTGGCCGGGGCCGCCCGTGCCGCGGCGAGGCCTGAGGGTGGCACGGCCTCTCGGCTGCTGACTGGCAGAGGGGGAGCCGGGGTGGGGTCGGCCCCGGCGGCAGGGTGTGACCGAGGCGGTGGGAGAAGCGAAATGGAAGTTTTCAATACAAATTGGAAGATTCGAGTGTGTGTGTGTGTGTGTGTGTGTGCTGGGGAGAAGCGGTCTCTGTCTGTAAAGAGGGGAGTGCAGGTACTCCCTGACGCGTCAGGCTGCTGCTGCCGTGCTTGGGGCTCCTCAGGGCCAAGGAACGAGCCCTGGCCCAGCTCGCAGCCAGGCAGTGGGGCCAGGGCGATCAGAGGACACACAGCCGCCAGCAAGCAGGCACGTACTGAGCAGCCTGTCAGCTCATCAGCAGCGCCTGCGTGTTTTAATAGGCACCAAAGGAAAGAGGAAGTTTTAAACTAAATACAGAACAACAACAAAGTAAATCAATGAACTTTTACGCAGAGTTGCTGTAAATCATGTAGGGCAGCATGGGAGAGAACCCAGACACAAAAGTGTCTGTAGATGTAGCAGATGCACCAGAGGGGCATGCTGCCATCCAGGGGAACATGGATGGGGTGGAGAAGCAGGCTGAAATCAACAAGAAGTGCAGAATCTGACACCTGGGGAGGAACAACCCCGGGTACCAGGGCAGGCTGGGGGCCACCCAGCTGGGAAGCAGCTCTGCAGGAAGGGACCTGGGGGTCCTGGTGGGCACCAAGCTGAACATGAGCCAGCAATGCAGCCTTGCAGCAGGAAGGCTCATGGCATTGTGGGCTGCATTAGGAGAAGTGTGGCTGGCTGGGCAAGGGAGCTGATCCTTCTCCTCTATTCAGTACTGGTTACTAGGCTAAACCTAGAGAAGTCCTGCAGCCAGTTCTGTGCTCACCACTGCAAGAGAGACATGGATGTAGTGGAGAGAGCCCAACAAAGGGCCACAAAGGTGATGAAGGAGCTGGAGCACTTCTCCCATGAGGACAGACTGAGATAGCTGGGACTGTTCAACCAGGAGATGCTGAACATCCCCTCTGGCCTGGGGGAATCTTCTCAATGAAGATTTCTCAATGAAGGCCATTATCCTGAGCATGGGTGGGCAAAGAGATTATGGTGTCCGTCCTTGGTGATACTCAAAAGCATTTGGATATGGTCATCAGAAAACACCTCTAAGGTGGTCCTGTTTGAGCGTGGTGTTAGACCAGAAGACATCCAGAGGTCCCTTTCGTTCTCAGCCATTCTGTGATTCTGCGATACCATTGATGTTTGCTCTTTGCTATGCTGTGGTTCTGATAGACTGCCTTCTAACAGAGGAATTATTTAGTCTGTTGTTTCTTGGCAGAGTGTATAGATTTATTCAGTTCCAGCTATCTAAAGTCTTATTCATGTGAAGAGATTTCAAAGAATAGCATGAAACAAATAACAATAAACATTCGTTCAGAAACTCTTATGTTTTTCAGTAACTACAGTTAACTAAAATACTTTATGCTTGTTGGTTTTGTGCTTATACACTATAATTGCTAGTGCTTGTTAAACAAACAACAACAAAACACACAACCCCCTCCCCACCCAAAATTACCCTGGATTATGTTCAACTACTTACCTGTCTTGTTGTTTTCTTTCTCCATGGTTAAAAAAGCTGTTTATATTTTCAAGAAAAGGATTGTTAGAATTAATCACTAACTCCTTTTAGTGAGTAATACATTTGGTGAGATGTTGTGCTAATTGCTTCTTTTTCCTGTTTTATGTAGTCCCAGTAGAAAGTGTCTACATAAAAATGTTCACAGGTAGGATGCTCACAATAACTAAGTTCTGTTGTGCTCTGCCATGATTGCCCAGTAATCTTAAGTAGAATAGAGAGACTTATTTTGAAGTAATTTCCGGTATGGTACAATATGTTCAAATTTTAACCAAAAGTACCGTTTAGAAAAAACAGTATCAGTAATGAATAGGTATAAGGCATTGTATAGCAGACAATTGGTAAAGGCATGTAGAACAAGCAAAATAAGGAAATGAATGGAGTAAATAAAAGAGCTGCTAATTTAGGGCTTCAGAGTTAAAAGAATATTAAATCAGATCAGAAAGCTTTTGCTATTTTAAAAGTTTGTCATCTCATTTGATTATTGTTAAGGAAGATGTAGGGTTGGACTAAGGGAATTTATTGGCATCCCATGCTTACAGAGAAATATTGAAGATGGCACTGGGGAAAGAAATGAAAGATACTGTATGGCTTATGTCATAGAAATAGCAAATAAAATGAGGAAAGATAAAACCTTTCTTCTACTTATGAGATTATATTTTGAGAATTTTTCTTCAGCATCTTTGATTTTATTGAGCAAAGGGAAAGTGTACTCAGCTGTGTGGTTAGCTGTATTTCTTGTCTTACAGGTAGCTTTTGTCTGTCACAGGATGAGGACAGAGCAACTGGCCTGTGTGAGGTTAGAGAGGGTAAAGTGATCAGTAAGAAGGTTAATGGATATTGCTTGTGTTGTGGCTTTAGCATATATGACAGCCTGGTAGAGAAGTTAGCTCTCAAATTTGTATAGGTATGAAGTGCTTTTTTTTTTTTTTTTGATGGGATGACCCCTTAGGTCTACAGTGGGCAAGGCAAGGAGCAGTACCAGTACCAAACTGAGAGACAATAAAACAGAAAACAATATCTTTGACCTGCTGTTGACTCAAGGATGGGATATCAGGAAGGCTATAATGAAGGCTGTATGCAGTGAATTATTGAACATTGTAGAGTACACTCCAGTAGTGCCATGCTTTGTGAATGTCTGGTGGTACATACTGCTTTCACCTCCATGGCACATGGGTAGCATGTCCAGTTCACAAGTGCTGTAGGAACATTGCCTTGGCTTCTAGCAAGTGGTAGTAGCCACAACAGGGACATGTTCTCTTTGCCAACAATGATGCTGAACTGGGAAAAAAAAAAAGTAATAAAACTTAGCTACTTTGGCAAATGGATTACTAGACTTTTACACTTGTAGTGTTCATTTCTTTACCAAAATACATCTACAACAGAAGAAACTACATTTTGTCCAAATATTCAACAGTGAACTAAAGATTGCCCTGGGCATTAACCCAGTTCTGTAATACCAGACACATTTGACACATTATGAGAACAATCCCAGACATGAGTAGACTGGGAGAAGAACTTATTAAGAGCAGTCTTGCAGAGAAGGGTTTATGGGTTCTGGTGGACAAAAAACTTGACATGAGCCAGAAATGTGTGCTTGCAGTCAAGAAAGCCTTCTGCAACCTGGGCTGCATCACCAGAGGAATGGGCAGCAGGTTGAGGGAGGTGATTGGGGAGGTGATTATCCCCCTCTGTTCTGCCCTTGTGAGGCTTCACTTGGAGTGCTGCACCCTGGTCTGGGGCCTCCAACACAAGAAAGACATGTACCTGTTAAAGCAGGTCCTAGAGTACCATGAGGATGGTCAGAGAGCTGGAGTGCCTCTCCTATGAAGACAGTCTGAAAAAGCTAGGGACCGTTTATTTTCCTGGCTTGTGCAGCCTGGAAGAGTCTGGGGAGACCTTTCACTGTTTAAAAGGTGATTATAGAAAAGGTGGAGATGACTTTGTTACGGGCAGATAGTGATAATACAAGGGGTAATGGCTTTAAATTAAAAGAGGTCATTCTATTCCACTTAGATTAGATATTCAAAAGAGATTATTTACTGTGAGGGTGGTGTGGCCCTGGCACAGGCTGCCCAGAGAAGCTGTGGATGCCCCATCCCTGCAAGTGCTCAAGGCCAGGCTGGATGGGGCTTTGGGCAACCTGGTCTGGTGAGAGGTGTCCCCTGCCCATGGCAGGGGGTGGAATAGCGTGATCTTTTATATCCCTTCCAACCCAAGCTGCTGTATGATTCTATGTAATTATACTGTCCCCATCAACTGGGTTTGTCTCTAACACCTGCATATCTATTATTTGATTAATTGTGCTGGAGCAAATTATCTTAGGAAATGGCCAGAGAGTTAGCATTAGGAAATATGAGTGAAGAAGTAGAATCTGTTATGCAGAATATTCAGGACCTGATTCTGAGTGCAGGAAGAAATTTATTTTTGCCCTTAACTTTTTCTTATCCTAAGCAGCTTGCATATTTGAATATCATAATATTAGCAGAACAGCATTATATTAGCAGAACCCCAGTGAGAAAACCCATGTTTCACCCTTCACCACAGGATTCATTGTTAGAAAATCTTAGGTGACTCTAGGCATTTCAATAACCATAAAGCACAACATTTCACTGTGTGGAGATTACCATCTTGCTCTTTATAGCCCTTTTAAAAATACACCCTGATTTTCAATCTGATTTACCATTGAAGAAATCTTACTATTACAAAGTAAATTGTAAGAAAATGTCATTTCTTTCCCTTTCCCTCAAAGATAATGGTTTATATTTGCAGTTAAATTTCCAAATCTGATTTGTGAAGCTCATCATACTCCTATATGAAATCTCTAGACTATACAGAAAATCCATCTTTTAACAAATCATAAGCTTTATTTTTGCTTCCCTTCAAAGAATAATCAGATCAGTCTCAAATTGCTGTGTATGGTCATAGGCCATGTTAGAGCTAGGGTAAACATTTTTAAAGCATCTAAGTCACTCAGGGCTAGATTTAATAAAACAATCCTTGATACCACTTTCTTTTCTGGTAGTCACTTCTTCACTGGAATGGAATCTTTAACAGTGTCATATGCAGGAATCTCCTCAGTGCTTCAGAATCCTGATGATCTAGGAATCTTGTCGTCCTGAGGCAGGGAAAAGAAAATGCCACAAAGATTATACAGTCTGAAAACTGTTCAGGCTGTTGAAGTTTATTAGTTTGTGTTCTGTTTATTACCTGTTGAAGTC